GGAGAAGCAGGCTCCATGCACCGGGAGCCCGACGTGGGATTCGATCCTGGGTCTCCAGGATCGCGCCCTGGGCCAAAGGCAGGCGCCAAACCGCTGCACTACCCAGGGATCCCCAGTAGATAGCTTTTATCTACAGGTACAGGTATTCGGTTTTCTGCTTTTCATATAGGGAAGTCAAGATTCAACATTTTGTGTAACATTACTTGGTTTTAGTTACTTGCCTCAGGGCCTAAATGCTAGATGACAAGGAGAGAATATTTGTGGAGAAAAATATTCTTCAAAAATGTAGATTAGAATTCCATTGTATGATAATGATATTAATTTTTGGAGGAAATTGCTCTTGAAATCTTAACTAAAAGCCAGAGAATATCTACTCATTCATTAATCTTCTCAAGATTTCAATCCCATATTCAACAAATAACTAAGCATGCATTTTAAGGAAAATATTCTTTGAATATTATGTTTGGGTCTAGATTTCTCTTTATTACAAGGCCCATGTGAGGATGTATATTGCAGCTCTTTCTACTATATTTTAGTTTAGAGAATTTCATCATGTAGTGATTTGCTAAAACTTAATATTAAACATGTTTTTTGATTTAAATAAATGACTGTTTAAAATCTTTAAATAACTACTGCTAAAATTAATTGTAGCCCAAAATCTTTAAATCAAAGTTAATGCCGAAAAACAGCAAAGTTTGAAGGTAGAAATAACTGCATGTTGTATTTGCTTTTAAAATCCTAAATATTACATCTAGACAAATTATTTTAAGCAGCCAACTTTGGTACATTTTGGTTTCCTGTTATAAATTATACTAATTTTTTATGAGACTGATATCTTAAGGATTGTCTGTAGTGTTTACATAGTATTTAAATGCAAATGAGAATATTAATATAAAACATTATCAGTTAAATTTTATTCAACGTGATATTTTCTGTATGATACAAAGTCATCTTAGTATATAATTAATTTTGAATGACCACATATGGATTGATAGAGTTGTGCTTTTTTAAGTATATATGCAATTAATAGTGATTATTGTTGTTTCATTAAATCTCTTTGAAGATCCTTTTTATTGGGAGGTGTAAGTAATTTTTGATTATAATAATATATTCATTTGTATGGTTTTCAATCTCACTTCCTTCGAAAGATAAATATGCAGCCATTCTAAAAAAATGGCCGATTTTGTTTACTTAGAAAGACAGTAAAAAAAAAAAAATCATTTGTTATTTCACTGTTGTTGTGAGGACAACAGCACTAATCTGGTCCATTAACCTTTAAAAGAAACTGCAAAGTCAGACTGTAGCAGTAAATATTCAGTGGCAAAGTTTTTATATCAAAGATTGGAACTTTAGGAGATACTCCTGGGATTTAGTGTACTCTAACATCTATTAATCCCTGATACCCTGGGTGACTTGTCAAAAAGTGCTCCACTTACAGAGAGTATGCAAGGAGGCCCAAGAGGACACATTCGCAAAAAGGTCAAGGAAGCAATTACTGTTTCCTGCTTTTCCCTCAAGAACTGCCATAGCAAATGCTGTGCCCCTCCCCCACCTCATCTTAGCAAAGCCTGTGAAGATCATGAAAGTTCAAGTTCCAGTGAAACATAGTACCAATATTATTTGGTTCTTAGAGCTCTTCTTTCACGTCAGTGCATGCCATAGTTGAAGAAGTACAGTGAAATGGATTAGAAGAGGTGACTCTTGCTGAAGAAAATCAGTTTTGTGTTCCTGTATCTCTCTGTCAAGGGTCAATATTTGTGCTGGTGGTAGAGTGGATGTAGACTGGGCCCTTCCTGTGGCATGCAGTTAAGTTGGAGTTTTTTTGGGAATGCCGGGTTCTGTGTGGGTCCTTAGAAGGGCTCTATTAAAGGATTGCAGAATTTAGGGCAGGAAGTAATGTTGATAGGAAGTCCCTCCTGGGACCGTGGCCTCTGAGGGAAGTTTTCAATGATGTTAAACTTGATCTACCTCTGTCTAGTCATTCTGTTCCCCGAATATTAGGGAATGATGTTATCGGAGCTCATTGGGCAGAGTTGGAAATAACATCTTCTCTTAGGACTTAGGGACTCAACACTGTCACTTCTACTTATTCTTGCCTCAATGCAGTGGAGAAGTTTGAAAGTCTCTTGAGGCTTTCATGTACTCTGTAGTCCAGAATTTTTTAGACTGGCAATGGAGATATATATCTATATATCTATATCTATATCTATATTTATATCTATCTATATATGTGCATATTTTCCCCCTTCACTAAAATTTTGGAACATGTTTTAAAAATAAAAGTTTGCTTATCTTGGAGCTTACTTTTAGGAGTTAATAGACAACAAAATTGGTGGTGTTAGATTTTGGCTTAGTATTGAGAAGAATTTTCAATAATCCTATTTTCTTTTTTTCTCTTAAAGATTTTATTTATTTGAGAGAGAGAGAGCACACGAGCAGTGGGGAGCAGTAGAGGGAGAGGGAGAAGTAGGCTCCCTACTGAGCGGGGAGCCTGCTGCATGGCTTGATCCCAGAACCCTGGGATCATGACCTAGCCAAAGACAGATGTGTAACCTACTGAGCCACCCAAGCACCCCAACAATAATCACATTTTCTAAATGTATCTCATGAAGTAGCACATTTACCCTCATTGGAATATTTAAGGAAGCTGAACAAGCTGGATATGTAGTTTACATCAAACATGAGGTTCAAGATTAGACTGGAAGGTATCTAAAGTGTTTTCCATCATGACATTCTAGAGGATTCTATGACATTTTTTAAGTGGTCTGTTTTAAAATTTTGAATAATTGCATTGTTGGAAATTTTTAAAGTTTTTAACTTTTGAGATTTGGGAAATTCTCTAGGAGGAGCTTGTCTTCTATGAAGACTAGGTTGAAAAATTTTTGTACTGCCCCCAAATTTCTTGGAAATACTTGTATTTGTTACTTATTTACTTGCTAATTTTTGGATCTCAGGACTGAGGTGTGAATTAATCACCCCCATCAGGTTATGGTGCACTCCCATCAGGCAAGACTCCAATGTTGTATGTAGATCTGTCTGTATATTCCTCCCTTCTTCCCCCTCTCCCCTCCTCTCTCCCCCCTCCTTTTCTGTCCTCTTCCCTTCCTGACTTCCTCTTTTACAATTAAGAACTAGGTTGAAGAGAACTAGGCCTGCTGAGGTGGGAGAACTAGCCAGTAGGACTCTAGTCAGACTCAGAGAACAGAAACAAGACTTGAAAAGTCAATGGGTTTTAAGGATTGGAATAAGAAATAAATAGCTTCTCTGTTAGTGCAAGTCATAGGTCAAAGGCTAAATTTAAGACACATTTCCTTTGTGAAGCCATGTCTTAGTGACCTTCACCAGTGCATTCTTCCTTCCTTATTTACTGCTAGAATTTTCTTTTGTTCCCCAGCTTTATTGAGGCATAATCAACAAATAGGAATTATGTATATTTAATATGTGTGAATTATGTTTTGATATATATATGGATAGATGTATAGAAATGAACATGGCAGTCAAGTTAATTAACATACCCATCACTTCACATAGTTGCTGTTTTCTTTTGTGTGTGATGAGAACATTTAAGATCTACTCTCTTAGCAAATTTCAGATCTACGTTATTATTATTTTTAAAGATTTTATTTATTCATGAGACACACAGAGGCAGAGACATAGGGAGAGGGGAAGTGGGCTCCCTTTGGGGAGCCTGATACAGGACTTAATCCCAGGATCCCAGGATCCCACCCTGAGCCAAAGGCAGACATTCAGCCACTGAGCCATCCAGGCATCCTCAGGTCTACATTATTATTAACTGTTGCCACCATGCTATGCATTGGACTTCTAGAACTTATTCATCTTGTGTAAAAGACCACTGTATCTCCCCATTTCCCCCACCCTTGTCCCTGGCAACCACCATTCTATTCTCTGCTTCTATGAGTAAGTATGGAATTTTCAATTGTACCTCACAATCCAGTATTTTTGTTTCTATGGTGATCTTGTTATATAATTTAGTTTCATGACCAAGATGTAATAACAGTTGTAATAATGATAATAATAGCCAAGGTGGTAAGCACTTTACATATAGCATCTTATTTAATCTCCCAGATGGAGGTTCTTTTATCTTTCACATTTTACAAAGGAGGAAACAGACTTGGAGAAAGATGTGTATCTTGCTCCATAACTAGTTTGTAAATTTTTAGAGACAACTAGTTTTTAAAAATTATATTCTAGCTTTTTAGGAGTAGAGAGGGAGGATTTGGAACAATAATAAAAAAAAAACACCACATTTTGGCTCCTTCATTTACAAGTTGTGTGAGCTTGGGCAAGTTAATAAGGCTCCCTGAATCTTAGTTTGTATCTGTAAAATCACAAATAAGAATGACTAAATTATTTGTAAAAATTATCTGAAATAAAAATAAATTACATAAAATATCATATACTAACATGTCTAGCATGTTAAATATGTGCTCAGTAATTGGTGAATTGCTTATGTATGTTGCAGATGTTAAGATGCCATGAGTTGCCCCAAAGTGATGGTATAAAAATAAGTAATAATAAAATATCACAGGGGTATATTGTTGGATGGTATTAAATATTTTTTGCCTGGGTAAAGGCGGATCATAAAGGATATACTACTATATATTCTTGATGTAGCTAGTTACACTGTGTAGCCTATGTGAATAGTCAAGATCTTATGTTCCATCACCAATCTTTCTCTTGTTCTAGATGAATAGATTGGTAGTCCTTAAAACATACTGCTTTTTAAAAAGTATATCAATTATTATTTGTTTCACGTGACTTTGCAGAAACGAATAATGGTGATTTTCACTTTGGTGGATGTATGAACTGTTAGCTTCTAGCATCAGTTATTTTAAAATAGTTACTATTACACTGCACTTAAAGTAAGTGAATATTCAAAAGTAGCTTAGAATAAGTAGAAATGCTACATTTCCATCAGGTTCTTTTTCTTGGTTTTTACTAACACAATCACAACTGTTGACTTTTTCTTTTCCTTTCAGAGAAGACAGATGATGACAACAAGAAAGTGGTTGCAGAGATCATGGCAAGATGTTTTGTTCCAAGGTTAATAACAACCACCTCCTGGGAGGGATTTCACTTTGTTGGTCAGGAGATTCGGATTACTGAAGGCATGGATTGTTATGGTGCTGTTGTTTGGCCATCGGTATAATTTCACACAAAATTTGCTATATCTCAATGATTTTCTAGCCAGTTTTGTTCCTTATTTTGTACTATTTGGAAGGAAAAAAAAAAGGTTCCCTGTTCTATTTTGTGACCTCAAACAACACTAAAACATAGAAATCATGAAATTGGGAAAATGCTTCCACCAATTAAATCTATTTCTGACTTATAGGGTTAATAGAGTGCTGTTTACATCTGCAGTGTTTTGTGACCATGGGAGTTTAGCAAACATTTTTATTTCCCATTCAACTGGCTCCATTTGAGTTAAATAATCATAATGAAATCTGTCAGTCTCAACATGCAGAATGTTCTACAAGGTCACCAATCCTTTACCAGTTTTCCATGAAGGGTGTAGACCACCCCCTTTCCTCCACTGTCTGTCCCAATCCCACACACTTCTTTGAAATGACTATTATTATTAGAAGTTGCTTTCTTTAAAGATAATCAAACGTAAGAAACTGAATTCCATAGTTTCAGTTTTCTTATCTCCCCAGCAATCCCCAGGGACTTTTTGTAGTCTAAATGTTGACATCCTCCAATAGTGAAGGATATCCTCCAATAGTGGCAGATGTACTTCTGTTGATAATTTTCTGTGGTGGTCTGTACATTTGCACACATATATTCACATGTGTACACGTCATAGCATTAGTATATATTGTATATTTATCTAATAGACTTTAATTTTACTTACTGTTATTACTTGCCAAGCACTACTTTTTTCTTTTTTAAAACTTTCATAGGCCCTTGTTCTATGCTATTTTCTGGAAACAAATGTAAAGCACTATAATATGGTTGATAAAAATGTGATTGAAATTGGAGCTGGAACAGGACTAGTCTCCATCGTGGCAAGTTTACTTGGTAAGTAGGTATTTTTGATTGAATGGGATCAAAGAATTTAATGATCAGATGTCATTAGCTGCTTTTAGTATTCATTTTACTCTGACCTAGGCCTAATTGAATGGGCTTCACCGAGAAACACTACCAATTTTAAAGTCACCTTACTGGTGTGTTTCAGAATTTTCTGTGAAGTTCTATTAATTCAGCTCATGGAGCAGCAAGTCACAAGTGTATTCTAATGGGAGGTGTGCTCAGGCCTCCAGGCTGCCAGAGGAGGCATGTGGGACACAAGGTCCAGGCAGAGTCTACTGCTGCTGACTCTGCTGGTCTTGATTGAGACGTTTGTTCCCAGGTAGCTGTACATTCCTTGTAGGTTTTAAAGTCCTATGCTTTCATGAAAAAGCACCTGTTGGGAGAGAGGAAGAATATTATCAATCTCATCTGCTTCTAATTTTAGGCATTGATGCTTGAATTTCTTTTCTCAGTTCATCTTCATTCTTTGGGGACTCTCTTCTTGTCTCACCAGCATTTCCTTTTCTCATGACATTTGTGACAGTCTCTACAAATGCCTAAGCCTGCTTCACTTCAGTCTCTTTGTTGTTGTTGTTACCTACTTCACTGCCTTAATTTAGCTGGCTTCTCTGATGTGTGCTCCCCAAATCTGTCTTGATTTCCCTGGTCTTTAGAAGTGCACACCTGCCACTCTAAAATCTTGAGAGGAATTCAAGATTTAGCAATTTACAACTTTCTCAACACTGGGGAAATACAGGATCCTTGAAATCCTCCCCTAATTTTAACACTGGGGAAAGACAGGATCCTTGAAATCCTCCCCTAATTTTTTTTATATTGTTCCTTCCTGATATGGCTTTCTAAAGTCACCATTCCATTTAATATGGGTAGTCAGTGGCACCACTGGGTTTATACTTAAAGGCTTCCTGATCAAGAACACTTTTGTGCTTTTGGGAAGTCATTTGTTTCATTAAAAAGAATTGATCCTTTAAGGCTGCTTATATAACTTGACACAAATAATCAAAGATGGAAGCTTTGTTTAGTTAACATTCTAAGACTAGTGGTATTTACCTCTCGACCCAAAGATCTTAATAGTCAGATAGTTTACATTCACTGTGGATGGAGTGGGTGGGGGGGATCTTCCATATCTTGGGACTTTAAAAGATTTGTTGAAAATAAAAGGGAGACAGAACACGAAGACTCCTAACTCTGGGAAACGAACTAGGGGTGGTGGAAGGGGAGGAGGGTGGGGGGTGGGGGTGAATGGGTGACGGGCACTGAGGGGGGCACTTGACGGGATGAGCACTGGGTGTTATTCTGTATGTTGGCAAATTGAACACCAATAAAATATAAATCTATTATTAAAAAAAAAGAAAATGATAGACCCACTTACACTAGAATGTGACAACATATTTCTGTGATTCTACCAATGATACACATATTGCCCTCTCACTTTAATATCTCCCACAAAATATAGTTGATGGCTAGAGAAACTTGTCATGGTGACTAAGGAGTGGGTTCTTAAGTGGTCTGAGCTGCACTAGACTTCTCTCACAGTTTTGCTTTCCTATTTCTTACCCCAGTCTGTTCTTGTCCAATGATGTGGAATTGATCAAGCCTAGATTTATTGACACATTTTCAGGCTCTGCTACAGCTCACAGAGCCAAATTTTATTGGCTGTTGGTTTCTACAATTTTGCTTCTTCCAGTTTCTTTCTTTCTTCTTCCTTCCTTCTTCCTTCTTCTTCCTTCTTCTCCTTCCTTCTTTCTTTCTTTCTTTCTTTCTTTCTTTCTTTCTTTCTTCTTTCTTTTCTTTCTTACTCACTTTTAACTCGGAGATTGTGCACATCTTCATCTGAATATTCTAAGTCCTGCATCTGTGGTCTTTGGCTGTAGGAATACTATGCACATGTTGTGGCTAGGTTTTAAACATCTTTTGATGGGAAGATTCATATTTGTAAGGGGGTCAAGCTAAAAATTTGGGCATAAACATGGATGTCATGATACTTCCAACATAATTCCATTGATAAGCCTCTTTCCACACCTGAGCCCCTCCTGTTCAACAGCAGGATCCCTGATGCAGTATACACCCATTTGGCCTCACATGACTTGGGCTCAGAATTGTTTTGGTGAAAAACCAGTGCATTTTTCAACAGTGACTTCTGATTGTTCCAGTAAAGATTCCAAATGTTTTAATTTTTCTCTTTCTCTAGCTTATTTGTCTCCTAGCATGTCATAGATAAATAGCAAAGAACTATTGGGACGATAGTAACAAAAAAAATCGCAGGAGAACAGAAAATTGTAAGGGAGTGCAAAGGTGACACAGGAATATACATTTTTTTTTACATTTTTTTATTTATTTATGATAGTCACAGAGAGAGAGAGAGAGAGAGAGAGAGAGAGAGGCAGAGACACAGGCAGAGGGAGAAGCAGGCTCCATGCACCGGAAGCCTGATGTGGGATTCGATCCCGGGTCTCCAGGATTGCGCCCTGGGCCAAAGGCAGGCGCCAAACCACTGCGCCACCCAGGGATCCCTATAAATTTTTTTTAAGGGAGGTGTAAAGCTGCCTTAGCATCTGTTTTGAAGGGATTTCCTTCCTGTGTGTACCGACCAGTCTTTTCCTTGGGGTTAGCGATTATGCAGAATTGCAAATGCATGTTGGTTTGAAACCTGATTGCTTTACCTTATCCCTCCAGAGTTACTTTTCCTACTGTTCTTTGCTTCATAGGTGCTCATGTGATTGCCACAGATTTACCTGAATTACTTGGAAACCTGCAATATAATATTTCTCGAAACACCAAAATGAAATGTAAGCATTTGCCTCAGGTTAAAGAACTCTCCTGGGGCGTAGCTTTAGATGAGAACTTCCCCAGGTCTTCTAACAATTTTGACTACATCCTGGCAGCTGATGTTGTCTACGCTCACCCTTTCCTGGAAGAACTCCTCATTACCTTTGACCATCTGTGCAAAGAAACTACTGTCATTCTCTGGGTCATGAAATTCAGGTTGGAGAAAGAAAATAATTTTGTAGATAGATTTAAAGAGTTGTTTGACCTGGAGGAGATTTCCAGTTTCCCTAGCCTGAATATTAAGTTGTATAAAGCTATGAAAAAAAGTCGGAGGAGTGCATGATACCTTCAGAGGAGCACTTCGAAAGCAAAGGTAGTTTCTAGCAGTGTGTTCCTTTAAAGAAGACCATGGACTATCTGATGTAACACTGACTTTCCCAAGGGGACCCCCTCCCTACCCCCCACCCCCATAAACTTGCCTCACACCCCACAGGGAGTTTCCCAGATAGAGTACCTGGGTCGGGAGGGCTGGCCCAGCCATACTCTGTGGTTATTGGTTAGGACAAGTTCTACTTTCCTCATCCCTCTATAGAACTGTTTATTATTATCATTTCATTTTAATAAATGGTACTATTATTTTTAATGTATAACTATAGAATAATTTTTAATAATATGTATAAAATGAACATTCTTACTGTTTTAAACATAAGCTCATCTGAATCTCCCTTCAGGAATAAATACATGGTGTATATTGGGATCTGCAAGTAAATCTGAAAAGGCAGATGCATAATGTAATGGTAATGTGAGATTATATTTTGTGGTTTTCATTAGTGCCAGTTTATAGGTGGTCTGTTGTCTCTGCCTGGCAGGCCTCAAGTGCAACCTCTGAAATCAATCACACTTGTGGATTTGAGGTTATGGGCAAGGACATTTCACTCTAGTAAATGAAAAATGAATGGAAGCAAACAAACACAGCTGAAATTTGGGAGCACTTCTTGTTTTATTTTTAAGCTAAGTACAGTTATGTTTTATCACAGGAACAGAAAGTATAAAAACTTTGGGTTGAAAATACACATGGAAAGATTTAGGTCTCTAATCTTAAATAACCAGACTTAGGACTGGTTTTAAAATTTAAAGCTTTTGTGTTGCACATGTATAGACCTAGATATTTGAAATCCTATGGGTTTTCCTCACATGGGCCTTAGAGATTAGAACAAAGAGTGAAGTAATTAGAGTCAGGGCAAGGAGGGCAAAAAACAAGGATTGTGTCCCAGTGGTTCACACTCCATTGGTGGGTGGCTACTCTTGCAGTGTTCCTTATGTTGTCACAGTGCCCTCGGCGTGGTGCTTATTCTCCTAAGCCCAGCCCTGTGCTTTGCTGGAACTTCTCAGCCACTCAGGGCCCAGCAGAGCTTGTAAAATGACTTCCTAGGGTCCTGATGTTAAGGAGGTTGCAGATGTACTCCTAGTGGGTTTTTGGCTGTGCAGCCCATAGGGCTGTCTCCCACAGACTCCAGCAATTACATGATCTCTTTGACTTTTCATAGCCGGTTACTACATAAAGTCATGTGATCCTTACAATCTTTCTCAGAAGTCTAGGGAATATCATTATCCCTACTTCACAACCAGCATTGCTTGGGCTGAAAGAGTGGTCACTTGCCCCAGGCACATGGCTGCAGAACGCTTGTCTGAGATTGGGGCCTGTGTTTTTACCCCTGCACTGCTTCATGTATTTAAAGCAGCAGTTCTCAAGCTCTTTTGTAAATGAGTGAAGTCATCTCTTCAAAGTGGGATCGTTACCCAGAAAGGTAAGCAAATACATTAGAAGAAGTGAGACTTGCCCTTCCTTATATTTTCCCTCTTTTTTTCTGGCCTTATCTGAGTTGTCAAAGCAGGTGCATTTGGAAGGTGACATTTAAGCAGAGCAGGAAGGAGATGAGGGAAGAAGCAATGCATATATCTAGGGAAGTCTGTTCCAAACAAAAGGGGCAGCTATGCCCCAGAGGCATGCCAGTCTTCTAGCAGAAACAGTGAAGGCCAGTGTGCTTTGGAGCAGGGCAAGCAGGGGACACTGGTTAGTCAGGGAGATCACAAGGGGCCAGGTCATGTCTAATCTTCATTGCAGTCTGGCTTCTTCAGAAGCAGACTCTGAGGTGGAGTTTGGTTTGCCAGTCATTTATCAGGGAGGGCCATTGGTATTGAGACCTGTGGGAAGGAGAGGGACAGGGACAGAGACAGAGGACGAGCTGCAGTGTGGGTCCAACCACCAGCAGCTCTGAACCCCAAGTGGCCTTTCTGAGTGGTCCTGTGTTGGGGCAAGCCTTCTGGGCCTTGATGACCTCATGTCATGCAGTCACTGGATGCAAGTTACCCTGTGACCTTGCAGGAGGTGACTCTTCACCTGAGGCCATCCCTGAATATGCTCACAGCTGAGGGCCATTTTGCAGCAGCCAGGTAATAAATTTTTTCTGAGGGGGATCTGGGCACCACATCACAGAGTACCACTGCCTCTAAGGCCATTGGAAGTACTGGCTTTTTCTCTAGTGAAGGGGAGAATCACTGGATGATTTGGAGTAGACTGAAACAGTATCACTCCATGTGAGGACCACTCTGGCTGCTATTTTGAGAATACTATGAAGGGGCAAAAGGACCAGTTAGGAGGTTGTGGCAGCCATCCAGGTAGGCAAGGAGGGCAGCCTGCGGTAGGGAATGAGTGCTAGAGATGATGAGAAGAGTGGTTGTTTCTAGACATGTTTGGAAGCTAGAGCCAACAGACCTTCCCACCATGTTGAGGAGTCAAGGCTGACTCTAAAGTTTTTGATCCTAGCTACTGGATGTCAAGTTAGAGTCATTAGTTTAGAGATGGTTTGTAAAGCTCATTCAGGGAGCAAGAAGACACAATAAGACAAGAATGGAGCCCTAGGGCTGGCCAGCATTAAGGTCAGACATAGGTATATATGAGATTTCTTTGAGGTTCTGTCCCTTACCCACAAGTTATCTGTTGACTTTGGAAAGATCTGAATTTACTACCACAAAGGGTTTTGAACTTGTCAGTAGAGTTCTAAATTTCCTCACAGCTGACTCGGGGGCTTCTAGCAGTGTTTTAGGTGTGGCAACAGGAATCTAGGGGTAACAAGTGAATACAATGGCTCCTATGCTAAATGTTTGAATATTACTACTAAGCTGTTTTTAGGTAGAATAGATAAAGTGTCCTTCTTTTCAAAGACTGTGTTAGGACCAAACCAACCATATGGTTCCTCTTTCTTTAAGTGTCAATCTGTCAAACACAACGTTCTATAACCATTGTTTTATTCTGTTTATAGCATTCACTTGCAAATTTTAACACCCACACCCACACACTGTGTGTGTCTACTTTTATCTTTTTGCTGTAGGTTCTCCACACTTGTCTAGATTCAATTTCATAATAATTTAATCTCAAAAGATGTAATTTAAGTAGGCTTTTTCTATCCTAAAAGTTTATTTTATAGCTAGTTGATTTGTTAACTTCAGTCCAAGGGAGTTTACTGTGAGTTTTGCCTTTACTTCGCTTTTCTCTGTGTACGTTGTGTCTGTGTGTATTTGTATGTGTCTGTGTTCTTTTTTTGACAAGTTAAACTGCTATTGAGAACCTGGTTCAATTCTTTCAGTAACTTTCCAGATTTCTAATAGAATAAACACTGATTGTCAAGGCTTTAGAGAAGTTTTTGCTTCACAGTAGACATACCAGCTTTCTGGTGAGACTCTGCCCCGTAAGTGTACATGTGACACACATGTAACCATAAAAGTCGTCATGCCCCAGACTATCAATTACCTTTAGGAAACTAAATACTGCATGAAAACTTCTATCTTAGAGTTTACTAATATATCCTATTTCACTTGTGCCAATTTTTGTCAACCAATATTTTTCAAAAATTGGTTTTTATTCCATATTTATATTTCTTTTTTTGGGTAAAGAATTGTGACATTGGGTAACTTCCTTTTTTTGTATATTTTATTTCACTGGAGTTCGATTTGCCAACATATAACACCCAATGCTCATGCTGTCAAGTGCCCCCCTCAGTGCCCATCACACAATCACCCTCCATCCTCTCACCCACCTCCCCTCCCACTACCCCTGGTTCCTTTGCCAGAGTTAGGAGTCTCTCATGCTTTGTTTCCCTCTCTGATTTTTCTCACTAATTTTCTCTCCTTTCCCCTATAATCCCTTTCACTATTTTTTATATTCTCCATGTGAGTGAGACCATTGTCTCACTCTCCAATTGACTTACTTCACTCAGCATAATACCCTTCAGTTCCATCCACTCGAAGCAAATGGTGGGTATTTGTTGTTTCTAATGGCTGAGTAATATTCTATTGTATATATAGACCACATCTTCTGTATCCATTCATCTGTTGATGGACACCGAGGCTCCTTCCAGTTTTGCTATTGTGGACATTGCTGCTATAAACACTGGGGTGCAGGTATCTCGGCTTTTCACTGCATCTGTATCTTTGGGGTAAATCCCCAACAGTGCAATTGCTGGGTCGTAGGGTAGCTCTATTTTTAACTCTTTGAGGAACCTCCACACAGTTTTCTAGAGTGGCTGTGCCATATCACATTCCCACCAACAGTGCAAGAGGGTTTCAGGTAACTTCCTAACGGATTTGGAGCCAATAGTATAAATTCATTGTTGTGAAAGAAAACGTAACAGAATGTTCTTTTATTTTTTTGAATCCCTGGGTTCCAGGAGCATGGTGTCCTCTGTAAATGCCTGGTCTCTAGAAACAGAGACTATCTCCCACTTGTTTTACACAGTGCCATTGGTATATGTCAGATAAATCATTTCTGAATATCCTTTGGAAGTATGTCCACTGGGTAGGATTTTCATACAGGAAAAGATTTATATGTGCTAATTTTGAAAGCAAACTGGGAAACTTGGGTTCTAGAAATAAAAGATTGAAAGTCAGCATTAGGTAGAACAGATAAGGAAGCTTATTGATAAGCTTAGATAAAATATACTGTGCTTCCTTTTTCGACTCCATTTTATTTATTTATTTTTTAATTTTTTTTAACTTTTTATTTATTTATGATAGAGAGAGAGAGAGAGAGAGAGAGAGAGGGCAGAGACACAGGCAGAGGGAGAAGCAGGCTCCATGCACCAGGAGCCTGATGTGGGATTCGATCCCGGGTCTCCAGGATCGCGCCCTGGGCCAAAGGCAGGCGCTAAACCGCTGCGCCACCCAGGGATCTCTCGACTCCATTTTAACTCAGTTTTCAATGAGGTCTGCATGTAGAGGAGAAAAAATTGTCAAATATGTGCATTTCTTTCTCCACCAAATTATAAGGCAATAATAAGAAACAAAGTTGGAACAGATAAATAATTTCACAAAATGTGGGGATTGGGGCAAAGCAAAATTTAAAAACCATAGATACTTATGAGCATGTTTGTGGGTGAATCTAATTCTTTAGGTCTTCTTTATGAAGCCTGGAAATAATTCACAAATGATTTCCACATCCAGGTTTTGGTATATTTGAGTTGTGATGTGAAATTAAGTCTAGAATATTTATGTGCAAGCCTAATTTCAATGTCTG